GCAGCAAGGTCTGGAAACCGCAGGCTCAGGCCTCACCACCCACAGAATAAATTTCAGCTGTCTTGTAAGCCACGGCAACTGGGATGTCTGGGGGAGCACGGTGCTCTGGACGGGTGCTGGTGTGAACCCTTACACACACGCACACACACACAGGCGGGCGTGCACACTCAGACCCAGCTTCCTTGCACGTGGCCTCAGACATGCAGACAAGGATGCTCACTGCCCGGCCGCTGTGCCAGCCGAACACTGGAAACAGCCTGGATGTGGCGGCAGGTGGAACGTGGGCAGGTCGACATGGGGGGAGAGCCAGACCCACTCCAGTGCTGCACACGGAGCAGTTAAGAGACCAGAGCACCCAGTGTGTGGCCTGCTGTCATCTGTGCTGCGAGGAACCGCAACACGAGGGACTGGGGCCTTTTCCTTTGTTCCTTCTGAATTCTGTACCAAGAGGTCAATCTTCCCAGAACATAAATAACAATAGGGCCCGGGCTGCAGGACCTTGGCCGCCAGCCCCAGGCCCCTTGCACGGCAGCAAGAGGGCAAGAGCTCCACTGCCGCCCGCCTTGGGTGCTGGTGACATGCAGCGAGCCCACTCCCTCCCACACCCCCACCCCGGGGCCGTTGCGGGACGGGTGGGCTTTGCTAAAAGTGCACATGAAGGAGTACCATACCGCTGTAGCGGGCAGGGTCTGCAGATGAGGCAAGTACCACACCCCGATGTCCACGTGTCATGCTTCTGAGCGTTGGACGGACCACGCTCTCCCAAAGGGCCTTATCCCAGGGCTGACCCACGGCGCTCACGCGTCTGAGGCTCGGCCTGCGGCCATGGTGTGGGATGACCTCGGGGACCACGCGGCACGTGGGAGGACTCTGTCCTGGGCCTCGGGATGTTTGCACCTTCGCCCCTGGCTCCCCCAGACCACATGTCTGGGCCTCTGGGTGCCGGCCCTGCTGACATGGTGACCACCTGACCCAGAGCAAGTGCTGAGCCCGATGCTCCCAGACTCCCTGGTCCCAGCCGGGGCCCGGTGGCTCTGACTCTCCTGTGGGCCCACAGAGGAGGCCTAGCCACGGGAGTGCCACCTGGTTGCTGGGACAGCAGCCTATGGTATCCGAGCTGCAGGCCCATCCCCGGGGCTCCTTGAGCTACTCCTCCCCGGCACCCACGGTCCTGTTCCTGTCCCCTTTGTACGGAGCAGGGACCCTCGGCAGGAGGGTGGGTGACCAGCATGGGCCACAGGCTCAGCCAGCAGACGGCACGTAACGGCGGGCGCGGCCGTGTCCTGATGGACACGGAATCTGAATCTCATGTGATTATCAGCAGTCATGGAATATGACAGCACTACTCTTATGATTTAACCAGGCTGGGTCATGCGGCGGTTAGAGACCTGGCCCCGAACACCCCGACCCCCTCCCCCACCACCTCCCTGAAGGACTCTGAGCTGGGCAGGACTCCTCCATACCCACCGCTCACCACATTCCCAGGAGGCCTCGGGTGGGGGGTGAGGGCAGAGGTTCTGACAGAGAGAGAGGACAATGGGCCAGTGGGATGCCCCCCACCCGGGCCTGGCCTGGCACGGAGCAGGCCATCCTGTGACCAGCCCCTCACGCTCCTCCGGAGACCCCGGCACATGCCCTGCCTTCCCCACGGCCTCAAGGACCCCAAGTGCTGGACGTCTGGGCGGGGCCGTCTCGGGCCTGCCCACGGGGGTCTTGGCTCCCGGCGTCCGCACCCTGGAGGGCCTGCCCCAGTGTTTCTGATGGCACCAGGAAGCGCTAAGTCCAGCCTGTTTCCTTTATCCACACAGAGGCTGTTCCACTGTCACCCGCTCAGGGGACAATTCCCAGGATGGCACCACTGGCCGAGGTCCCTCTGGAGGCCCAGGCGCTGAACCAGGGTGGTCCCCCACCTCACGTCCCCCCATGCCCCCCCTGCCGTCCTCCCAGAGCTGTCTGTGCCCCGTGGACCCTGGGATCAGCTGGGCAGACCCCGGGGCCCAGGACAGTGTGGGGAAGCCGGGAAGGGGCAGGGGCGGCAGGGGGCCCACCTTGCTCTTCTCCTGCTGCAGCTCGATCTGGATGTCGGTGAGCTTGGCCCGCAGCTCCTCGTTGGCGGCCTGCAGAGCAGCGAGGAGCTCCGCTTTGTCCCCCTTGCCTCGGCCGCCCGTGCCCTTCTTGGACATGGTGAGGGTGGCCCAAGGGGTGCCCGGGGTGGGCTGCGCGTCTGGGCTGGGCTGTCCACACCAAGCTCCAGCAGGTAGCGCCTCGTTGCGGCTGCGCTACATTTTCTCGCTCACCTGGAGAGAAAGCACACCTGGTGAGCAGACTGCGTCCTGTGCCCGCGCGGGAGCTTGGGCTGCGTGCGGCCTCATGGGGCAAGTGGCGTCCTGTGCCCCAAGGAAGCCGTCCAGACTGCACGCCGGTCCCCCAGCCCCAGAGCGCAGAGACCCTACGCCCTCCGTACGTCACCTGTGACGGGTCCCCACCTGTAGAGCAGGTCCCCATGCCTGGCACATGAAGAGTGCTTGGAGGTGTTCTTTCTGTCCCTTTGGAATAAGAGGTCGGGGACCCAACTTTAAGGCCCAATTTCATACCCGGCTGTGGGCCCCAGAGACAATGGTGGGTGTGAACCAGGAGCTTCTCAGACAGTGAGGTTGAGGCCGGGACCTCCAGGCCCCCCAGGGGACCCAAGAACTTCGCCGGGGAGGACATGCGCCCTCACCCTGAGCCAACTTAGGGGGTGAACGCGTACCCTCAACCACCCCACGGGCGGGCTCCCTGCCCTGGGGCCAGCCCATCCACCGCCCACTCCCTCCCCAGGCCTGGGGCTGCATTTCCTTCCCCACATGTCCCCGCACCAAGTGTGGGAAGCAGACCAGTCAGCCCACTGTGTAGACTGTGTGGGCCTGGGTTCAGCAGCAGGAGGCTTGAGTCCTGCTCCACACTCATGACCTAGGAAACCCCGTGCCTCTGTTCCCTCACCTGCACAAAGGAGAGACAAGGATGTCCCTGGCCCCCCAGGCTTCCTTCCTGCACTTCAGACACCAGGACGGTGCCCCAAGCCACAGAGGTGCCCTGTGCACACCCACCCGCCCCAGCTGACAGACCGGGAACTTGCCTCCAAAACCTGGGGTATGGGGTCAAAGTTCGGCCAGGACGCAGGCTGGGACGCTGTCACTTCTAGGGGAGCGCTCTCCCAGTGAGTCCCCACGGCCTTTGTCCTTCCTGAGGCCTCGGGATATGGAATCAGACAAAGCCCCAGATGGTGGGGGCGCAGGGGAAGGCCTGGGCGGGCGGCACACGGGTGTGGGGGGGGGGCTCGTAGGGAAGAGGGCTCACAGCCGGGCTGGGGAGCAGAGCCGAAGGGAGACTCTTCCATGGAGGAGGGAGAGCAAAGCTGGACAGAGACTGAGGACGTCAGGCTGTATCTCCGCAATGGCGTGGCCTCAGAAGAGAGTGCAGCAGACCCTCAGCGCCTCTGCCCAGGCCTGATGGCAGACCCACGGCTCCCTTCCTGCTCACAGCCCCTGCCCGGGAGGTGAAGAGCATGTTCGGTGGAAGGGAGGGGCCGAGTCCCAGGCTCCCGATTTCGGTTATATTTTTTGAGTCACCCCGAGACCGTTTTGTAGATTTTCCAGCTCTGCGTAAAAGGGTCTTCCGCCCGCTTGCAATGACGTTTCCCACTTGCCGTCCAGTCTTCACAGGTGGCGCCGAGAGACCCCCCCCCTCGCTCCAGCTCCCGCCCGCAAAGCCACGCAGCTGCTGCTGGTTAGGTTAGGGCAGGCTGGCGTGCAGGCACCAAGCCCTCGGGGCCACGGCCACGGGACCGTCACCGTGCTTCTCATCAGGGCTCCCTCTCTGGCTTTTGGCTCGACACCCCCCAGAGAGACCCCAGTCTCGGGGGACAGCCCCATCCTCCTGCCTCCCCTGGTCGAGACCCCTACATCTCCCTGCTGCCCTCGCCAGATTCCAGGGAATTCCCAATCTCCTGGACAATTTGCTGCATTCCACCCCAACTACCCAACTATTATTTACTCATTTCTTTCTGTAGATAGGTTGTTTTTTATGTATATTTTTTAAAGATTTTATTTATTTATTTGAGAGAGAGCAGGATGGGGGGCGGGGGGCTGGAGGGAGAAGCAGAAGCACACCCCCCACGGAGCAAGGAGGCCAACATGGGGCTCGATCCCAGGACCCTGAGACCATGACCTGAATCGAAGGCAGCCGCCCAACCAACTGAGCCACCCAGAAGCCCCTATTTTTTACGTATTTTAAAGTGACTCTGCAGGCCGTTCCCGGAGAGAGCGCCAGCATCACAGGTGTCTAAAGAGCTAATGGCCAGGCCAAGATGGAGGGAGACATGCCCTGCCAGGGCTCCAGACAGACACCTGCTCCACAGCCCTGAACCTGCTGGGCCCCCAGGCTGGACGGCAGCCCAGGGGCCCCTCCCGGCCTGCCCTGCACCCTCCGCCTGACCACCCCCACCGCCCACCGCGCCTTTTGCTTGGTCTGGAATATGATCTCACAAGGCTCACCATGGACACTGCTGGCTCTGGCCTGGGCTCAGGACTCCTGCCGGCCACCCCACTGGGTCCCCAGGCACTGAGCTGCCTCCACCTTGGTTCTGGACACCCGGCCCTAAGAATTTTCGATGCAGCAAGGGGTCTTGAGCCCTCCCTGACATCTCCCCAAAAGCAGAGTGAATATTTTTCTCCAACACCAATTCGGAGGCAAATATGATAAACATGTAGACTTTATTATTTATGGAAATGAGTGGGAACCAAATAAATCGCCCCCCAGTCCCCTGAAGGCACGCTCACCCACACCCTGCCGGGGACTCCTGGCAGCCTCCTCCCCGGAGCCCTTGATGGGATTACCGCCTGCAGGGGAAGGAAAGGGGATTTTTCACGCCTTACCCATACCCTGTTTGCGCTAATGACACCAGCATTACACCTTCAGAGGATGAGAGTTTGATGGAATGAAGCATCTTGCCTCCCAGACTCGGCCGCCTGGATGCGAGACAGGCTAGCAGGTGAGAGGGGCTGCACCCAGCAAGCTCTGGGGTCTGCTGCTCCATGTTACGTGCCTCTGGGCGCCCCATACCCCTCCCTCTGTGCCCACACCCGCTGAAGCACCAGCTGTAAGGATCGCGTCCTGGTCACGGATCCCACGTCTGTCCTGTCACCCTGGGAGATAGAAGAGGCGGTCGGAGGGAGACACAGGGGCCTTGGGGGACACAGGGGCGTCGGGGGACACAGGGGCGTCGGGAGGCCCTCGGCCCTTGCCGGCTGCTCTGGCCCGAGCACTCACCCCTGCCTGGAAGAACCACCGACCGCTGGAAGCAGGGACCGGAGGTGGAGGGTGGGGTCGGCAGGCCACCACCAGAGGCCACAGGTGGGCCCCCAGCGAACATGCTTCAACCTCCGAGCGGAACAACGCTGAAGACCTGCTCAGGCCACTGGCTTCCCGTGGCGGAGCTCAGTCCACAGTGTCCGGCATCCGCGTGCTGGGGGCGCAGGGGCGCTGAGGGACCACCTGCCACAGGCCGGCAGGGGCAGAATCCACATAACGAGCCCGGGCATTTCAAATACTTACGGCCTGAATTAGCCCCCCTCCCAAATAAGTGTCGCGAACCTACTTGGGAGACGTAGGGGTGTGGGGGAAGAGGCAGGGTCACGTTCATGCCCCAGGCTCCGCGCACACCGATGCTGATTTGCCACCAGCCACATCTGTCACACTTTGTCGGGAAGTCATTAAACCATCAGATTAATAGCTCAGTCTGCCCCCCTTTGTTTCGGGGTCTCTGAGGATGTAATAAATTGAGGAGCTCGTTCTGCTCTCTCCAAGTAAGTGCTCTTGCGTTCAGAGGGTTTAGAAAGGGAGACAAGCTCGGAGCCGCTGACCCCCTAATGAGGAAGCCGTGGGGTCAGCACCGCCCCCACCCAGCCCCTGCCGGCCTCCAGGCTTTCTCCAACGTGGAGCCGCGCTCTCACTGCCCGGTGTGGGAGCAGAACCCAGAGATCCGTGAAAACCTCCTGCGTGCACACAGCTCAGGGCAAGGCCCCGCACACTTGGCCAGAGGCCGGGGCATAAAGGGGCTTGGGCCTTCTAAACCTGATAGTGTCTGACCCGGATTCTTTCCTAGTTAAACACGTTACCTACAAAGAAGAAAGGATGAATCTGATGCTTCTAATCCTTATCGTTTCCATGGAAATCCAAGGCAGGCAGTGGGGAGAGGGTCAGATACACCATGTTGAACCCCACAGGGACCCCCCAAGTTCAGGGTGTGTCTCCCTGTTGGCAGTCGGACAAGTGTCCGCACGCTGGTGCAGGCTCGGCCAGGCAGAGGACCAGGCTACGCGGTCGGGCAGACGCGGGGTGTCGGTGGGGCACCCGGCCCCGGGGGAAGGTGTCTCGGGCTGCTCCCTCTCCACGCTGGGCCCTCAGAGTGAGCCTGGCAGAGGGGTGGGGGGGCAGGCCAGGTGTGGGTAACCCTCACGACACACAGCTCTCCCATTAAAAGTCTCTTTCCTCAGAAAACATGAAGACCCCAGAGAGGGAAATCAGCCGGCCATACATGGCTGGATGTACATGTTGATCCAAGAATTTGATCCACACCTGGACACCTTGAGGCAGGAGTTGTGCTGGGGGCGGGGGGGAGCAGGGACAGGTCTTGGGAGGTGGGGAGCAGCACGTGGGGTCTGGGTGCCCAGGGGTGGGCGGCGGTGAAGAAGACGGGGTGTCCCTGCTCCCAGCAGACCCACTGTTAGCATCGACCCTGGGACAGCCCCAAACCACAGCGGGGACTCAAGCACGCTGGGCTCTTTCCCACAGCTGGCCACGAGGTGGCCACAGGACAGACGGAGGATCCACAGGAGGGCAGGCGGGCAAAGAAGCTGAGGCCTCAGCTCGACTCGGAAATGCGTTTTCTAGAAGCAAGAGTCCAGGTGTGCCACGTGATGTCACAGTCAGGGAGCTTCCCTGTCGTCTGAGGGCAGGAGCAGATGCTGTGCCTCCAGGACGGGACCCGAGCGTGGGAGTAGCCGCCTTCCTGCACCCTGAGCGGCCACTGCCGAGGCCGTGGGACTCACCGTGACGACTGGAACGGACGGGGAGGCGCCCTCCGTCCCACAAGGACACCCGGTGCTCCCACAGTTGGCCGCGCGTCTCTGAGAAGTGACTC